CCCCTTCCTCCTCTCCTCTCCAGCCAGCTCTGTCCCCAGAGGGGGGAAGGGACGACTTGGAAGGAGAGTTCACTGAGGAGACCATCAGGAACCTGGATGAGAATTATTACGACGCCTACTTCGACCCCACCTTGTCCCCATCAGAGATCGGCCCGGGGATGCCAGCCAACCAGGACACTATCTATGAAGGGGTGAGCATGGGGGCCAGCAGGAGGGACTCCCCGGGGCCCTCCTGGGGCCAGGGGGTGGGTGGGGAGACAGCTCTCCCAGGATGCATGGCTCAGGCACTAGCAGGTGCCTGTGTTTCAAGCCTGACTCTGAATCACAGCGTCCTGGCTGGTCAGCCAGGCTGTTTGCATTTTCACAAAAAACTGCCCACAGAGCCGCTGCCAGCTGGTGGTGCCCCTGAGGGACAGCCGCCAGCCACAGAGGGTTTCCAAGGCTGCTCACCTTCCAGAAGCAGGCTGCCTCCTCTTTCATCTACGGGGTGGCTGGTGGGACCCAGCTGCCCCCCTTTTGGTCAGCCGTGGAGTGCTTAACTGCTATGGCCCCAGGGACCCGGCATTCCCCCCCAGGGCCTCCGTGGGAATTCTTCCTTGTCGTGAAGTCTACAGGCAAGTCCTGTTATGCCAAGCAAGACTCTCGGAAGCACCTTCAGATCTGTGGTTCAAACCCACAAGCCCCTCCACAGAGGAAAGATGAGGCTGCCTAGTCCCACACGAATCACAGCCACGGGGACCCCAGGGAGCAGTTCTGCTCTGTTCTGGGGAGCCGCCGTGAGTCGTGGCCGATGGGACCCCTGTTAAAGTGAAGGCCTGATTCAGTCTGTCTGGGTGAAAATGAATTCCCAGCAAAGGCTTGAATCAGAAAGAAGTGGCCCCCAGTCCTGGTGTTCCGGGACCCCCTCTGATGCTCTGAGCCACACGGGGACCACGTCCTACTCCCCAGCACCAGCACCACCCTGGGTGCCCTCCTGGTCCTCTTGTCAGGGGCCCTCGATGCATCATGACCGCCAGAATGACCACCCCAGCTGTCCTCTGAGTGGGGGCAGTGCCCTCTGCTGGTGTCTCCCTGGGCTATCAAGTCCTGTGGGCTTTGTAAGAAGCCCTGGTGGTACCGTAGGCTACACATGGAGGTGCCAGCCCCAAGGCCAGTGGTTCAAACCCATGAGCCACCCATGGGAGAAGGATGAGGCTGTCTGCTCCTGAAAAGACTGACAGCCTGGGAAACACAAAGGAGCCCACTCTGCCCGAGGGGGTCACTCTGGGTCAGAATCAGCCTGATGGCAATGGGGCCGTGTTTAGGGTTGGTGGGCTTTCTGTGACCCGGCTTCCTCTTCCCCCCTCTCTCCTCCCACTATTGTCCAGGTTGGAGGACCCCGGGGCGAGAAGGGACAAAAGGGGGAGCCTGCCATCATCGAGCCGGTATGGATGCTCTCGTCTCTTCTCTGTGTGTGTGGGGGGTCAGGGTCAGGGGCCTTCTCTGAGGACACCAAGGGTTATGTGGGGCACAACCCAGTCCTGGGGTCTCCAGAACCTTGCTCACGGGACCACCTCCATAACCACATGGCCTCCACTCACTACCTCCTGCTAAGACACCCTGGGAGCCCCCAGGTGGTGAGAAGAGTCTAGACCCCAAGGGCCTGGTGAGTGGGCCCAGGGAGCGGGTCAGGACCTGGCCTGTGTGCGGCCTTTCGGGGTTTTTCACGGGATATGGAGGTCTCCCTGTGCAGTAGAAAGAAGCTCATGGTGCGTTAGGAGGGCAGAGACCCCCTGGGGGAGCATCTGAGCATCGCCAGCCCTGCCCCCCAGCAGAGTGGGGGGTGGGTGGGGGGTTCTGTAACAACTCTGCTGTTAGGCAATCCTGTGGAGGAAGCCTGGCCCCCAGTTGGAACACGGAAAACTGCTGATGAAACTGTGTCAAGGGGATTCGAGAAAGCAGTGCTGCCCTCGGGATTGGGGCTGGGTCCCACCCCACCGTGTCAGGGACGGGCATGGGGACGCGCTGAGAAACACAACCAAGTTGCTGACGGTGCCTTAAAGTGTGGACGCAAGACCGAGGGGCTGCTGGGCGCCTCTCGTGGGTCGGCGGGTGTTAGGGGTGGGATAGCGCTCTGCCCCCAACGCCCTGCGGGTTGCGACTCCGCCCCGTGGGCTCAGCTGCGGAGGGTGGGGGCGTGGTGCCACAGCCTGCAGCTGTTCCGGAGCGTGGCGCCCCACCCCCCCAGCTCCGCCACGTCCCCAGCTCAGCAGGGAGGAGTACAGCCTGCAGCTGTGTCCACTCAGGAGGCCGAGGCCGGGCTGTTGCTTCCGAGGTCATGCCTGGATCCACAAGGGCCCTGTGACCCCGGGTGGGAGACCCCGGCTGTACTCCATCCTCGGTGGCACCAGGGGGCGGTGGGCACTGGACAAACCCTGTTCCCCATCTATTAGTAGCTCCTGAAAGACCTGCAGATCCGCAGCCAGGCATGTCCAAGTGGGGTCCAGCAGGGTCTTTGTGGAAGGGGCTCCAATGAGGCGTTGAGAGCCCTGCTGGAAGTCACCCCTTTCCCTGGTGGAGGGTGGTGAGCTCTGCCCCCACTCAGACGCTCTCTCTGCCCCACTGCAGCCTGGTGCCGTCGCCCACCCAGGGCCTACTGAGTTCAGTAGATTTGGTCAGAGGGCCTGGGCCCTGCTGGTGCCTCTTGCTACCAGGCCTGGACTCTGCCCTATAGTCCCAACCCAAGTCCCTATAGGGCCATGAGACTTACATCCTCCTCTCAGACGGGGCTCCCCACTTCTGGGTTCTCTGCAGGCCCCAGGAGTTTTTTTGTGGGGGGTGGGGGGGCTGTGGGGAAGGGCCATGCTGAGGACCACCTAACGCCAAGCTAGGACGTGGGCAGTGGATGCACTGGGGTTGGTGGGGGGTCTGGCCCACCCCGTGCAGCCATGTGGCTGGCTGATGTCCACTGGGAAACGGAGCTGCTCCCTCCCTGACCCGCACTTATCTCTGTTTCCGACTTCCTGCCCGGCCTGGGCTGGAAAACATCAGCCCCCGTGAGGGGAGAAGACAGCTGCTGTCCCGGGTCAGCCTCGGCCAGCAGGTCCTTGCTGACCCCGCCCGGCCGCCTCAGCTCCAGCGTGCAGTGAGGGATGGGGATGGGGGTCCGACACGGATTGGTGGGGCTGTCGGGAGCACTCTCTGTGGCACTCAGGCACAGCTATTTCTGGGTAAGCAGGGCCAGCCTGGAGGGGCAGGCTGGTCAGCGAGGGCCTGGGGCCCCGGTGACCCTTGACTCCGCTGTCCACTGACCACAACCCTGCCCAGTGGTTCTGAGTCAGCCGAGAGAAGCGTGTCCACTGTCTCCGCCTGAGGCTTCCCCAGTGTCCAGGAAGGGGCTGCCCTGCAAGGTGTCCTGAGTGAGGCTGCTGTGCCCGCCTGCCTCTGGTTCCTTCCTCACGGACACTGCCTGGGATGCCAGAGCTCAGCTGAGAGTTGGATACACAGTAGATAGTGCCTGCTGTCCAGGCATCTCTGATGCATGGGCATCCTGTGGGGCAGGGTTTCTTAGATAGATAGATAGATAGATAGATAGATAGATAGATAGATAGATAGATAGATAGATACATACATACATACATACATAGATGATAGATAGATAGATACATAGATAGATAGATAGATAGATAGATAGATAGATAGATAGATAGATAGATAGAAGCTGGATCGATAGATACATATATATACATATGTACATACATGCCTACATAGATAATAGCTGGATGGATGATGGATGGATTGTAGATGATACATGAATGATAGATAAATGGATGGTAGATATCTGGGATGCGGATGATAGAGGATATGTAGATTAGATGCATGGATAAGAGATATATAGATGATAGATGATGGATGATAAGTAGACAGATGATAGATGTCAGCCAGTTGGATGTTCAATGACAGATACGTAGAGGGATGATGGGTGACATATGGATGACAGGTAGATGGATGATGGGTGACATACGGATGATAGGTAGATGGATGATAGATGGGTGATAGATCTATAGAAGATAGGTAGATAGATGGATGATAGAGGCTATATGGTTTAGATAGATGGATAGAGATAGAGGATAGCTACATGGAATAATAACTAGATAGATGATAGATTGGTAGATAGATGATGGATGATAGATAACAGATGAATAATAGTTTGATAATAGTTGGCTGATAGGTGAGGGATGAG